GATAAAGGACGGATTCGACCGAGTTCCTCTCCCTACGTTGCCCTTGTCTTATTCGTACCTAAAAAGGAAGGAGAACTTAGACTGTGCATTTATTATTGAGGATTGAACTTCGGAACGATCAAGAATGCGGAACCACTTCCTCGTATTGATGATCTTCTCGGTCGACTGTAGGGTTAGAAGTGCTTCAGTAAGATTGATCTGAACTCAGGATATCACTAGATCGAGGTGGCACCTGAAGATCAACACAAGACGGTGTTCAAAACAAGGTATGGGCACTACGAGTTTATTGTCATGCCTTTCAGATTGACTAATGCCCCCGCAACCTTTCAGAGATCAATAAACGAACTGGTTAGGCAGTGGCTAGATCAATTCGTAGTGGTGTATCTCAACGACATCCTCGTCTACCGTAAGACGTTGGAAGACCATGAGAGAAACCTACCAATGGTTCTAGAAAAGCTACGTGAAGGTAACTACAAGCTAAATCCTAAGAAATCAGAATTTGCTAAGTCTGAGTTACTTTATCTTGGGTACATAGTGAATGAAGAGGGACTAAGGCCCCAAGAAAAAAAAATCACCGCAATTAGAGATTGGCCCGAACCTAAGACTGTCACAGAGTTGCGATCTTTCTTAGAACTTGCTAGCTATTACAGGAAGTTTGTGAGTAACTTCTTCCTTATAGTTGCACCCATGAGGAGATTGTTGAAAAAAAGAAAAACCTTGGTTATGGGACAGAGACTATGAGTCCGCGTTTAAGAAGCTTAAACACACGCTAACTCACTATCCTGTCTAAAAAATTGTTGATCCATCACTTCCCTTCATTGTCACAACTGATGCTAGGAAGTATGGGATTGGAGTTGTGCTACAACAAAATGACAGGAAAGGTTATAGACCCATCGAGTTCATGGTTACACGCCTTCCGTCTGATAAGGTAGCTAACTCCACCTGCGAAAGGGAATTGTATGCCTTAGTAGAGGCACTAGACACTTGGAAAAACTACTTGCTCGAATGACACTTTACGGTTTACTCAGATCACTCAACCCTGTAGTGGATCAAGACTCAACCTCGACTCTCTGACAAGCTAGTAAGATGGTCTGCATTTATTGACACATTTGATTTTGAGTTGAAAACCATAAAAGGAACATTTAAAGTTGTTGCTGATGCTTTGTCCAAGCGATCTGACATCGAGAATGAATTAAGGGACCGAATTCGTAAAGGGTATGCTGGTGATCCGATTTGGAACCCTATCATCCAAACCTTTCAGAAGAATCCTGAACTTTTTTTTGAATATCGAATGACTGATGGCTTACTCTTCTTCCTTGATCAAACCAAAGAAAGAATCTGCATACCTCACAAAGAAAATATTAAAAGTATGATTACCAGAGAATGTCATGATACTGAGGGTCACTTTGGGTTCATGAAGGTGTTTGCCAATGTGAAAGAGTCTTTTGAATAAAAAGGAATAAAAGAGGATGTGCTAACCATGTACGAACTTTATTTGCCAAAGGAACAAGTCCTCTCATGAGAATCAATTGGAATTACTACAACCACTACCTATTCCAAGTGAACCAGGTAAGTCCATCTGAATTGACTTCATGAGTCTCACCAACAGTCGAAATGGGAATAGCCAGGTAATGGTCATTGTCGACAGATTCTCCAAGTATGCAATGTTCACTCCTTTACCGTCCGAGGCTAGAATAAAACTTGTCATCCATAAGTTCCAGATGTGATGGGTTTCCGAGTATGGATTTCCAAAAACCTTCGTTTATGATAGGGATATACAGTTCACTGGTCTACAATGGTGAAAGATAATGGATGTTTAGGCGTCCCATTGATGCACTGAATAGGGAACAAGTCCAAAGGCTACCCCTAGGAACCAGAGAATTCACAATTCTATATGAACAGGACATAGCCAAAGTAAAGGAGAATTTACAGAAAGCCCAACTACAGATTATCAACCAAGCAAACAAGCATTGTCGACCTTCTCAGTTCAAAGAAGGAGACCTAGTAGTCTAAAGAATTCTCCCTTGAAGAAAATGTCTCTCATGAATTGCTACCTGTCTACTTTGGACCCTGGGAAGTTCATAAGGTGATAGGGGATGCGGATGGACCATCATACCGCATTGATGTACCCCCTCACCTCAGGACCTACCCTGTCTTCCATGCTTCTAAACTGCTACCCTATATCGAAGGCCAAGAGTTTCCCAACCGGCCATCCATGATTCCTCCCTCTATAAACGAAGGCTACGAAGTCGAACGGATTCTGAAACATGGATACTTCTCTACAGGTAGCAGGGGAAGACCTCAGGAGCACTACAAGGTAAAGTTCAAGACAACCTATCTCAGAATCAAGATGGTTCTCCGAGAAAAACACTTGCCTACTGCACCTGATATTGTTGCTGCATATGAGCGTGAGTTAAAAGAGAACCGTGCCTAGAAGTAATAGTTTCTGCGATGGAACTCGAAATTGGGCCCGATGGAATGCAATAACTTAGCTCAAATCATGCATCAGTTGCGGTCGTGGGCTGCTACCGTGGTCAAAGAGGCCGAAACAGGGGTCCTAGGCCATGCCCAAGTCATGCAACAACCCACAAGGTCTGCTGCTGTGGGCACACAAAACAAGGCCTGGAAACTGGCCTTCAAAGGCCCAACGTGCGACAGTTGACCGCAGAAAGTCAACAGTCCACAGCGGCTCGGAAACTCAGATTCACGAGTCAAAGTCAACGCGGACCTGGTCCAGGCCGTCGATCAGACACACACCTTTGGCTGTTTGCAGATATCCGCAAGGGATCAAGACCAGGTGGAAATCTGCAACTGTAAGTGTATCCAAGTCATTGGCTGCAACGTAATCTGGGCCGTCGTATCCGAGAGACCAGAGGCTGGTCAACCTCGAGTCAACACTGTAAGTTGACCCAGCCCCTGTTGATCGACATTCAGTCTTGCACTTGCTGCCCGACGCTGGCTGGATGTTAGCACTACACTGGCACAACACTGGCTCCGCGCTGGCTTGACATTGGACGATGACGCGAGACTGCTCTTGATTGCTTGATGCTGGCGCCCTCTCTGCCTTTGGAGCCAGCTGGACCAGAGACCATGCTGACGTGGCATTGACCACTCTGTCTACAAGATTGATGAGACATCGTCGAGGAGGAGGATGATCAGGGCTGTGAGATTGTGGGAAGCTTACCTGTCTGCGACCGATCATTGATGCGCATTGCTGTTCGTCTTCAGATGCTGTCTGCGCTGGCAAGCGCTATGACGAGACCTGCTCTTTGCCAGATTGTGTCAGAGGGAACTGTCTGCTGATGTGGCAAAGGGAGATGCCCGAAGGAGAAGGGGGTTCTGAGGGAGACCTATCTGCTAAGCCGATGGTTACTTTCTCTTCCACCTTCTAAGTCTCCTCTCCCTCCTCTCATCTTCTTCTCTGGTGACGTGACATTGGGCTACTTGATTACTTGAACGATTTTTGAAGACATTGTATCTGCGCCGAGACATTCTGCATCTTGACATTGACGAGCTTCTCTCCTGACTGGGTTCATTGCACTTCCTAAGGCTCAAAGTCTTTTTGCAGACTATACCAAGGTTGTTTTCGATCCACAAGCACTCAGGGATTTCACGTAACAGTATGATCAACCTAGGAAAGCGTGCCAGTAAACAGGAGAGCTATACTGCTTAAGTTATCCAAGCAGATCTGACAGCCCAGCAGCTGAGAGGAGCAGGTACAAGACAGAAAACCAATTAGCATCACGACATAAGCCCAGCAGTTTCAAGGTCACCGGACCAGTCCAACTTAAGGAGTAAGTCAACGAGGCCACATTAGGCAGGGGTGAGGGGTGGTATATCCTTCCCAAGGGAAGTGATCAACGTCGTCTGCTCGGGCCTTGCAACCATAATGGGGAGGAGCGTAGGGTGAGTACACGATGTATTATTTTTTACTTGCCGGTGGAATAGGCACCGAACTGAAGCTCCCCAGAGTGGACATGGAGCCACAGCAGCAGCAGCAGCAGCAGCAGCAGCAGCAGCAGCAGCAGCAGAAGAAGAAGAAGAAGAAGAAGAAGAAGAAGAAGAAGAAGAAGAAGAAGAAGAAGAAGAAGAAGAAGAAGAAGAAGAAGAAGAAGAAGAAGAAGACGAAGAAGAAGACGACGACGCCGCCGAAGAAGAAGACGACG